CGTGAATCTGTTTTGCTTTAAATTTTATGCAACGCATAAAAAACATAATTATTAAATTTACCGCTTCTTCAATAAAACAATGCAAAAATGTTTAAAAATTTGTATATTTCTTTCCATAAATAAGTTAACGTTTAAATATGTATGTAGAAATATCTGCCGTTGTATTCATATACATACATATGTATACATATAAGTAAGTAAATGTTGTAAAACAAATTGGGCTTCCGTAGCTAACATAATAATTGTGAAACTTGTTTAAAACAGTTGTAAAACGGGTAATGCACGTATTTACCAAACGAAATGATTTACGCCTATACTTATATTTCCATTATTCTTGATTATAAACTCACAACGTCGGCATTATCATACCTATTCAGCTAAAATATTACCCTTTAATAGTAAGTAGGCGTGCATGTTTCATCCTTTTAGGTCTTTATGTTTTCCTTTTGTTTAAGGATGTAGCCAAGGAGTCTCTGATTTTTCTCCACCAACAAGGATTTCTTTACCATATTAAAAAGTATTATTCTTTGACCTCGTCTTTATATTCTTCAGATTTATTTTTTAGGACAGAGGGTTGGTTTTCCATACTGTCCATATTGTTCATATTGTCTCTCAAAAATTTTAAAATATTTTTATTTGGTTATTTTAAGGGATTTAATATAATCGACTTACCTGTTGTTCATTAACAAATTATTAACAACAGTAACAAAAGCTAATATATTATAATATTATTATTTTAATAATATAACAAGTCTTGCTGCTTTGTTGTAAATAATAATAATATTAGTATGCCAGTTGGTAAATTTGTTTTTCAACAATTATACTCAACGCTTTATTCTTAAATGGAATACACTATAGTAATAGTAATTCTTGGCAATATTCTCATTTAAAAGTAGGTACCATTTAAAATTTGAAAATTGAAGTTATTAACCAAAATAAAACATGCAAATTTCTTAATAACATTACCAATATATTTTGCAGATAAAGTCCTAAAAAATGTGTAAAATAGAAGACTAATTGTACATTTAAACTTAAAAAAACAATATATTATTATTGTAAAACGCTGTAGTAACATTATAGTACATAGAAGGGAAAATTAATATTGTGCCGTTGGAGGAGTAGAGGGGACGATTTCGGCGAAGTTTAGAGGATATTTATAAGGTAGTTATTGATTTTCGGACTTTTATCGTAAAAAAACTGGGCGTTGGTTTAAGGAAACTCGAACGGATGCAGTTTGGACAGTGACAGCTCGTCACAAAAGAAAAGAAAATCAACTAAAATATGTTCTAAGTAAACTAAGTAAATATATATTTTTTTACCATGATGTTTAATACTATGTAATACTATTTGTCGTAAAAAAAGTGTAGTATGCAACTCGTTTAAAACCTTTTTTAGACACTCAATTAATTAAACCCTCGCTCGTGCCTGATTAAAATTCGTGCGTTTATAAAACTTGATACATACATAATATGCTATAATATTTAGACATCTGACAGATGTCAGATTATATTTATTTATTTTTGAAAAACATTTGCTAATTGGGGTAGATAAAGTATAGTGATTATGCGGATTATCTGCGTCTCTCGTCTAGCGACTCGAGACGAAAACCTCATCCTCGTGAATAATAACCTGCATTATCTCTCTTATAATATAATAAGTAGTAAATAAATATTAAGTCGTTATTCATCTTTTAATTAAAATTATATTTTCATCTTTCCCAAACAACTTACTAGGTACCACACTGGCAAAGACTTCGGCGTGGAACGGTTGCTATGACAACGGGTGATTGATAGGACATTTTATCCCGGGTTAATAGCAATTACTTGTTAAATATTAGACCAATTAATTAGGTCCTTAATCAGTTATTTATATAATATTACGTTTCCCAAAAATTGCTTTGTTACTCTATTTAATGAAAGTAAAGTCAATTTTTTTATTGGTCTGACAATTTGATTTTGTTACCAAAGTAATACTATTTTTTATATTTTTTAAACACTATATTCTGTTTTATAGTATATTATGTATCAAGTTTGATAAACGCCATTTTATAGAAAAGTTTACAAACGAGGTGCATACTATACTTTTTCTACGACAAATACTTATTATTATCTTAAAATGATTTAAATCAAAAATTTGTATAGAGCGCCATCTATGAAACAATAGGGGAATCTGTGTGTCACCGTCAAATGTCACATTTTTGTATTTTATAAACACAGATTATAAAGGCCATAAATCGAAATGTATTTCTTGAAAATTAACAGTTTTTCAAAGTGAAAGTAAAGGAAATGTTTTATGAGGACTTTACAGTGGAGTCCGTGCCCGAATTTAAGTTATAGTTTACTGCCGGCGAAATTAAAAGGTCAGTACAATGGTCATATAAACTTTTCAAATATTGACGTTGAGAAACTATTTAATACTTTTGTATTTTTGTATTGAGATAATAAAATAATTTTCACATATAGTATTATTTTACAAGAAAGGCACTTTAACGATTGTATGACATTTGACAACTGTCAACTAACTTAAAACTAACTTCAGCCCGTGACTAAAGCGCCACTTAGTGTCATGGAAACATGTACGATAAAGGACGTTTTAAAGGTGGGAGTAGAAAAAATATTTTATACAATTCATTAATATTTGAAGTAACCAAAAGTAACTTACAGGTTCTTTAGTAAATAACCTATTGAAATAAACTATTAATGCCTTAGATAGAGTTTATTTTGAAACTAAAAATCTTATTAATCGTTTTTGAGCGTATGACTCTTAACTAGTTGGTGGCCTGGGTAGGCAAAATGAAGATGAGCACGGCCTTGAAAATGCAACTTGACAAGGTCAGTTTCGTTTGGAACGTGCCCAACTTTTCGAGAGATTTCGGGAACGGGTCGATGTTTTTCGAACGAACAGTAGGCTGATTTGGCACGCACAGGACCAAAAAACCAAATTTTTTGCCATCAAAAAAGTTTCCACCGAAGATGGATACGGAGTTGTAGAAGTGCACCTTGAGCTTAATTTTCAAGGTACAACTTTCAATCGATCAGACACAACTTTCCTTATCAGAACCCATGAAAATCAAAAAAACAAATTTTCGGTTAATCCAAAAAATTTCTGTCCGCATATTTTTTATGTTGCCGCACGGTGCGTTGCGTCGTGCACTCTAAAACCAGGTCATGGAACAACGAAAACGCTTTTCAACTTGCACTGCTGCAAAACTGCCCCGGCTAAAAAACTTGCCCCAACCCATCGGAACGCAAGGAAGCGATCGCGATGTTGCCAGATGTCATTGAAGTTCCCAAAAGTTAGGAAAATGTTTTTTGAGAAAATACGTGACTGATACAAATAATTTCCTCCCATGTTCTACAAATAATGCAATATGTGTATTTATTTTGTATAAAGGTCTAAATTTAGAACGCAAATAATACCCAAGTACAACAAATATTTTAATATGACACTGACAGAAAATTAACCCTAATTGGTTGCATCAAAGTCCCGTGGTGGGACTTTTGGGTATACACCATAGTACTTACTATTTGTTTATTTTCTACCAATAGATGTGTCATTAAACATTACGATACCAAAATGATAAAATTAGCCTAATTACATACTGTAAAAAATTGAGATATTTTTTGTTATTGTCAATTAAAAAATAATAATTTTTGTCAACAAATATTTCATAAAACATTTTAATATTATGCTGCGACATCTATTATGTTTATTTTGAAACTTTTATTTCAGATGTTGGTCATTACAGAATTCTGTAATTTTAAAATTTAAGAAAGCGTTAAAATTTCAAAAATAGAGGTATGTTTTTTTTTGGAAATTGATATTTTTAAACTTGTATTTGAGGACCCTAAGTACATTTTATTTAGTTTTGAGATAATCATGTTTAAAGTAAAAAAACACTTGTAATTTGGAGTCAAATTTTTTTGTTTTTTAAGATGTCTAAGCTTCAAATTCAGTTATATCCCTTCGATACCAAGTAAAATGTACCTTTTAGTATATTTTTCTGTACATAACTACATTTTTTTTAAATGTTACTTCTATCCCTTGGCTTCTAGGGTTCTCATTTATTATTTATTGTTATTTTTAATAAAAATGTATATTTTTTTGGATTTTTATCAAAACATTTCAATATTATGTTGCGACATCCGAGGCGACATCTATTATGTTTCTTTTGAACCCATTTTATTTTAAATGTTTTTAATTACAGAATTCTGTAACCTAAAATTCAACATTTTAAATAATATTACAGATAACTTGAATACCGAACTTAAAATTATTTAAAAGGATTTCATCTGAAGTTGATGACATCAATTTAAACTTATATACATATAAGCTTCAAACGATATGAAAAAAATAATATTATTTAACACATTTATTATTTTTTGTTACTCTGGGTTAAAGGTAAATAGCTTTTTAAAAAAATAGAAAATGTCAATTTCAGCTATAATTGTCAAAAATGTCAAAAACTTTTCGAATAAATAATTTTTTTAATTTAAATTTCAGCCAATTTTATACATTTAATGATTATGTAGTACATTACATACAAGAAATAATGCGCATAATCTCGAGTGTAATACTATACTTTATCTACTCCAATTATAGTAGATAATTAAATAATTAAAAAAAAATCTGACATCTGTCAGATGGTTAACCTCACTTTCCACCAATTCCAAATAATATTATAGTCGCCTTTCATAATTTAAATCCCGATTGGTTGAAATTGGCCAATCACTGATGCATAGCAACGGGAATAATATATTACTTGGAAGTTCATTATTCCCGTTGCTAGGCGTTTTTATTATGGCTATCATTATATACGAAAAAAACAATATTATGCAGTAGGAGTTTATCTGTAGAATTTTTGACATTTTAAACCAGAAAAATTCCACAGAAAAAAGTAACTTAATTAAATGTGCAATTTTAACCTTGTAAAAACAAATCAAATCGTTTTATTTGTTTTTACTTCATATATTTTTGTAAAGGTAAAGAAAACAGTGTTTTTAATATTATATATTTTATTGGAATTTCTTATGTAATAAATTAATACATAATTTATTTTCAAAACATATACAGTAAGTGCACATGAAACACACAAGTTTTATTTTTAAATATTTCCATACATATTAAATCTAAATTATAAATCCTAAATTATAAAAATCAGTTCGAAATTAAGTTGTGTGGTTTAAAAGCACAACAAACAAATAATTAAATCCTTTTATATTTTCTTAAAAACACTTAAAAAATGTCAGCGCATACATACACCAATCTACGTTACGTTCATCTAAAATGGCGAACTTTAACTTTTATCATTTTTTCAACATCATAGAGAATTATAATGAGTGATGTTAAAAGCAAAAGTCGAATAAAATACTGCAAAAATTAAAACAAAAATACGAGCTAAGCGCTGACTTGAATGACTTGACTTGAACCTACAGCTTAACTGATAAAGTGATTTTTCAGATATTTCATCATGCCGAAGGTTCTGAAACGTTTTACCCCGATCACTTTGAAAAGCGCGTCGTCGCAAATGGCGTACTGCTTGTTTTTCGGGTCGTACAAATCCTTCTCTTTGATTATCGACCACACTTTCTTCACCACCTCGTGTCTGGCCATCGACTCTTGGCCCACGAGCGCGGCCAGTTCGGGGGACAGGGTCATGGTCTTAGTGTAACCGCCACCCCCACGTTTGGCACCACCGCCCTGCAAGAAAAGTTTCAGAAATATAGGACGAAAATTACGGGGAATTTTGGTCCAGTGCTTTCAGTACTTTATAGTTCAAAGTTTAGTAGGTATAAGGTGACCTGGTTTGCCCAGGACAGGTTCTGGTTTTTGCTAATGTTTCCTGGTTTATAATATGACGTTACTAGCAGTTATTTTTTTTAAGGCTCAGGTTAAAAATTAATTAAAAATTTTAAAACCTTGTTTGAAAAAAAATTATGACTTTTTCTCACTTTTAGGATTTGTTCCATTTTTTTTAAAAGTGGTCAAAAATTAATTTACAAATTTGAATTTTTGGGAGCAGGTACCTCCAGGATAGTATAAAAACTTCCTTTTTAAATTATGAGTTTTTCCCACTTTTTTAGAATGTGTTCTATTTTTTTTAAGTGCTCAGGTTAAAAATTAATTTAAAAATCTACAACTTTGGAAGTTTATTTATAACAGGAAAAAAAAGTTTAAAAAAAAATTATAACAAATTATGACTTTTCTCACTTTTTTAGGATGTTCTATTTTTTTTTAAGTGGTTGGGGCTTGGGTTAAAAATTTATTTACAAATCTGAATTTTTGGGAGTACCTTTAGAATACCTAGTAAAAAAGTAAGAAAAAACCTGCTTTGATTTTTTTTAATTTAGTTATGAGTTTTTCCCACTATTTTAGAACTTGTTCTAATTTTTTTAGGTTAGGCTTAGGATAAAAATTAATTTAAAAATCTAAATTGTTGGGAGTACCTTCAGGATATTTTTTTTAATATTGACACGGCGTTGTATTAGAACAAAGTTTGTACAAATTCGTACAGTACTTCAAGTAGTATAATGGTAGGATAAATCTAAAGAGATTTTAATGTAACTAATAAAATTTAATAAATAAGTTAATAAAATTCAACCAGTTAAAAAAAAATTTTTTTACTGTCTTTAAAATGACCTTAAAAATTCTCTCGGTAGTATTGAAAGACAAAATTTACTAACTAACAATATTATTTCAAATAATTTATTTCCAATCTATTTTTCCAACTATAATTTTTTAATATAAATAATTTCTAAAGTATAATTTATTTAGGCAGAATTTTGTAAATTGTAAATCCTAAATAATTTTTTTATAAACTAATATTAAGTTAAATTTTTTAGTAGGTATTAAAATAGTGTCTTTAAAATAAAAAATAGTTAAAAAAGTTATTTTTTTTTATCTCAGAACAATTGTCCAAAAAATATTTTAAATATAAAATGCAAATTAATTAAATTTTAGGTTAAAATATTGGTTTTAAAAAATTGAAGTTTTAATATTTTATTCTACAAAATTATGTTTGAATTAATAAAAAATCATTTCAATAATAGTCAATACATTTTTAATACAAAAATTCTCACATTAAATTTAAATGTTTTAAAATTTAAAGCGGTAATTTTTGGATTAAAAATGTATCTACTATCATTTAAATAACTCTTTAGAAATTTATACCAATAACTTTTTTAACACAAACATATCCACATTACATTTAAATGTAAGTCGATAATTTTTAATTCACAACGTGTGAACGCTGCTTTAGCTGACACTTTGTAAATTAAAAATTATCGACTTACATTTAAATTTTGTTTTCAAAATGTATTAATTTAAAATTACTAAAAATAAAAAGTTTTGGTTTGAATTTGTAGTTATTTGAATAAATTTTTAATCCAAAAATTCCCACTTTTAAATTTAAAACTTACATTTAAATGTAATGTGAGAATTTTTGTATTAAACATTCTTTGACTATCATTTAAATGACTGTTTAAAAATTTAAACCAAAAAAATAAGAACTAAAATTTTTAAACATCAATATTTTTTCAGTTGTATTTTATATTTAAAATATTTTTTGACTATCAATTGTTTTGAGTTTAAAAAACTCAAAATAGCGTCTTTTATTGTATTTTTTAATCATAACTCACAATTTCTTTGACTTTTTACTTAGAAAACCAGCGTATTTTAGTATTTAAAATTTAAAATTCGCACTAGAGGTATGTACTTTTCCTGGATTTTCAAACGATTGAAATGCCTTAAAGTAAATTGAAAACCATAACGTTCGTAATTCCTGACACAACTGATAACATCGATAACTTCAAGACCATCGAAGAATTTTGAATTTCGCGGTTTTAAAAACGCTGTAGCGTTCTCAAAAATTGTTTGGGAAACGTATGCGTAGATTATTACACATTTGATTATGTTGGTACTGTTAATATTTAAAATTGGTACTCCTAATATTTTATAAAATACGTTTTTAAGGACAAAAGAACATTTTTACTGTTAAAAACTGTTAACCATAAAAATGTCTTTGCCGTTATCAATAAACTAATTTTAAAGGTTTTCTAAATTAAAAAAATATAATTCACAATATTTTCATATTCTACTCACTTTTTTGGCGCCCTTCTTTTTGGCCCCAGCCCATTCCTCGTCGGAGTCTGATTCGGAACCCTTCTTCTTCTTGGGGGGAAGCTTGCGGGTCTTGGCGGGTTTAGCTTTTTTGGGGGAGTACTCCTCCTCAGAGTCCCCCTCTTCCGACTGCTCGCTAGCCTCGGATTCGCTGTTTTTTTTGGCTTTTTTCGCTGGAGGCTTTTTGGCAGCGGAACCGCGTTTCTTTTTTTTGTCTTCTTCAGAGTCTTCCTCCTGAAAAAAAGTTGCGTTAAAAAGAAAATAAATCGGCGATTGCAGAAAGTTATGTTTTTATCGATTTTTGTGTTAATTAAATATTAATCTATAAAAATTAGTTTTTGGAGGGAAAAAAATATTTTAGTTTTCAAAAAGCTTTATTCTTGATGAAAAGTTTTAAACCCCTACAATATGCGTTTTTATTGTCTATGGTTAATTTGCAATTTTGTTTAAGAAAAGTAGAAAAGTTTTTTTCTCACTGTAATTTTTAGATTTAAAATGCCAAATTAGGTAACAAAAAAATCTCAAAATGATAAAAACAAGACTTCCTGCAATCACCAAATCAAATATTTCTAAAAAAAATAATTTTTTAAGATATTTAATTGTACAAAAACAATTAAACTCCTAAAACTTAGACCTCAAAATCAAACTTTACCTCTTCTTCCTCCTCCTCTTCTTCTTCTTCGTCTTCAGAGTCGTCCTTCTTCTTCTTACCCTTTTTGTCCTTGGCACTTACAAACTCCATGACTAAATCGTCAATTTCCTTCTTCCTTGAAGCGAAATCGGCGTCTAACTTTTCTTCCAATTCTTGTCGGACTTTTTTGGCCGAGGTGGAAGCCAAGTCGGCATCCTTAAGGATGGCTGTTACAATAATACAATATTTTGATTTTTTTGGACCAATTAGTTAAAAACATTCTTTTGGGCCATTTTAATAGATGTAAATAAAGCACTTGCCTACGACTCGTTATACATCGTTATAAAATAAAAGATAATAAAGATTGTTGACGTTAAAACAAACAAATAACAAGTATATCAACCTATATCAACGATAAATAAGGTCATACATAATTCAAAATGAAAGGCCCAAACACCCAGATAGCGAAACCCAAGCCAATATTCAAACGCATATACCTGCTTTATTGACAATAAATTCCGTAAATTTTTTTGATAATAAGTCGCAATAATGGCTTGCAAATAAAGTTGTAAAGAGAAATTTTCGCTGTCCTATCCGCAAATCGCGATAAATTTGATTAAACACAAAGAGCGCCGCATAACGATGCAGCTTGGTACAGTCGAAACAAACACCATCATCTAGAATATTTCGAAAAACTTTTAAACCGTCGTCAATTCGGGGGAGAAAAACTCCTACGTAAATCACAAATAATTTTCTACATCGATTTTGTTACTGCCAATTTGCTCTGCGTGGCGTATTTACACCGCAAATCCGAGTTTTATTCGCGCACCATTTCGATTATACGAGCATAGCGTCATGCGGCCATTGTTTATGCCGACTTCGCAAAGCGAATAATCGACAAGAGTAAAATGCATGATTTTGCTTATAAACCGCTGAAAATCCACTAAGAAAAAACGTGCCCCGAAAAATTACAAACTCAGTTTTATATGTTTCGCGCCCCGGAACATTAAAATAACGCAAAAATCACAACTTACCGGCAATTTCTTTGCGTAGATCTTCTTTCGAGATGTCTGCCATGTTGATAGAGTGAGAAGTGGAGCAAACGAAGAGAGACGGAAAACTCGACTGCCCGATCCACGGATTGCCGCCGATCAACCAGGCACCTACACCGTTGCCAAACCGCGCACAACTACCAGAAATACTACTTTTACTTGCAAAATTACAAACACTTAACGCATCAAACCCCCAAATCTTGTGACGTTATAATTTTAAAAACACACACAATAATTAACTGTCACATTAGTGCTTAAATTGAAATCTTTGACGGTAGTTTTCTTTGTTATGTTTTATTGTTGTGAAAGGAGATTTGGCAACAAGGTATACCCCTCCACGTTTTGCCAAAATTTAAACTGCATTTTAAAGGCATTTGCGTATGTAAATTTTAGTTAAGGATTATGGAAAGTATTAATACAAATAATACAATTTTACGACCGAAAGGTAAGATTTAAAAGTAATACGTACTTTGCCGAATATTCGTAAATAAACATTGTTTTTAATCTAGAATTGTTTGTAGTTTAAAATTTGACATTTTATACCTATGACGCGTTGCAACGGTTTTTTATAGATTTTTGGAACGAAATTGAGTAGGAAATGTCAGAAAATACGTTATCGTTCATACATGGACATAAAAATTTAATATTACAGATTTTATGCTAGGTTCCTACACAGAAACCCAACCCACCCTCTATTTCTGTGGGTTCCTACCGATATTTAATTTATATTTTATTTGTTTTGGTAGCAACCAAGGATACATTAGAGAGGATAGTCAAATCCATTAAAAAAGCGTTCCCGCTAGTGCCTTAATTTGATTTAATATTCCTTATATCACTCATTAGAAAACTCAATGCTTATTAGGGTGCTTTTTTCAGCCCTTAATATTAACTCTAAGTAGTCCCAAAGCGTATACAGATTTCCCATTTAAAATACACGTAAACTTTGATTTTTTGTTTAAATATCTATATCTCAGCCGCATTTTATGCTATTGGATTGTTCCAAAAAGGGATTTGCTCGTAATCAAAAGTTCTACAAAAATGCTTTATGTACCATAGCTGTAATCTGCACCTGTAGGATGGTACGGGTCACTTAATCTGATTTTAGTGAAAAATTCTCATATTTTTGAAGATATTTCAAAAGTGACTGGATTCATCGAAAAAATGCAAAGGACAAACTTGTAGAAAATTTAATTTTCTTTAAAAAAGGTCTTATCAGTTGAATCGCTAATATTGATATCTGTTGAGATATAAAGCGTTTACATTGACGTTTTATGAAATTTTTCAGGATTTTCTTACCAAACTTTTTATAAATGATGATTTTCAATTATTTAACAGTACAATTTCATGTAATTACGTCGGGTTATTAGAGAAAAATAAATTACTAAAACAATCAAGCATAATTATTAATAAAATAACACACAAACAAAAAAATTTCTATAAAACCGGTAGGTAACCGCTGGTAACGGTTAATATTGGTTGTATAAAATGCTTCTACACAATTATATAACCGAATTATACCTATACCTAGAGGTTACAGTATATGACCATTATAAAACTAAATTGCGATTTTATAAAACCTTGTCATACTTTTTTGTATATACTTATCGTTGCCATAAGTAATACAGATTGTTTATTGGGATATGAATTGTCAGTAATGTTTTATTTTCTTGTTTATCAAAATAATAGATAACCACTTCAAGGTTTTAACAAATACTTTATTAATAATTTATATACATTTATTTCAACTGGGGTCATTTGTTTTCCCCACAGTACTACTGTAAGAGGAATATGTTTTATTTTAGTTTCTTCTTACAGCACAATTTGAATAACATTCGTCTTCTGAATTAAAATTATTCGTGTTTCCATAGCAATGATAATCAAATTCAAAACATTCTTGTTTTTCGTAATCGTGATACCATCTTTTGGATACTTCCCTACAGGTTCCAGGAGATTTTGGGAGATTGCATTTATCTAAAAAGTTTTCGGGTTTAAAATAATCTCCATAGTATACATATATATTTCTTACCTATGGTTTCAACAAAACGGCATACTTGATTGCACTCATCTTCAGTCGCAAAACGGTTTCCGTTACCTCCGCATCCGCTATAACTAAACATTACACAGCTTCCAAATTTAACATCAAAATACCACTGGCGAGTAAAATTATTGCAATGTCCTGGATCAAATGAGTAACCGCAGTTTACTAAAAAATAAGCTGAGATGTTAATATAATCTTAATGTTTAATTTAATAATTAGTTACCGGAGCTTTTTTCACACGATATTTTACATTTATCAAGGCTTTCAAAACCTTTTCGGGTCTTATCACAACCTGTGTATTTGAAAGGTACGCATTTATCTACATTGTAATAATAATTTATTTTAGATATTCCACAATTAGTATCGTTTAAATCAGGTACAAATTGGCATATGTCTAAAAATAATATTGCATTAAAAATTAATCTATTCAAGAGTATATTTACCTCTTTTTTCAGATTTAATGCAATCCCTCTCGCAATCCGTTTTACTTTCAAACTTGTTGGAATTACCTCGACATCCTCCATATGAAAATTCTTTGCATTCGTTATCATTTTGATCGAAAAACCATTTTGATAAATTAGCCGAACAAGGACCTCTCATTGCAGGTAGGGAACACTTATCTGGGAATAAACATATTATTGTATTAATCTCGGAACGTTCGGGAAGGTGCTTGCGCGAGGTGGGTCACATACGCCCTGGATATAGAAGGCACAGCGAAGCGTCGAGTAGTTAGTCAAGCTTTGGTACTCGCGACGAATTAAAACAGCAGTGATATATGAATAATTGATAGTTTAGTGATTAGTTATAACTAATTAGTTTCATAGTTTCTTAGTGTTTTATCGTTTAGTTCTAAATTGGATGCTAATATCTACAATCAAAAGCGGTAAAGTTGATATGAACTTTTTTCCTTAAAATATTCCACGGATTGAGCCCATTCGATATTAGCATCCAATCAAGAAACTGTATTTGAGGAAAGTGGTGTTTACCGTAATCTTCCATAGTGACACAGTTTTTGCTGCACTCTTCTAAGGAATCAAATTTGTTTTCGTTTCCTAAACAACCACCATACCTGAATGGTCTGCAAACGCCATACCTCTTGTCAAAGGTAAACTTGGTGGTGTATGCTCGACAGGGACCTTGGTCTGAGTTCAAAAGACATGCATCTAAAATAATAGGGTACGTAGATACAATACTTCAATACTATGTCTATTCGATGTGGAAATTACTTACCAGGTGTAAACGATTTTTTTGGATTATTGGTGGTAGTAGGTATACTTTCAGTAGTAACATTTTGATTGTTCCAATATGGTGATCTAGTTGTGTATGTGTAAAAAGGATAATTTTTGGTTGTAGAAGAATACAATGTACTAAAATCGTATCTATTAGTGCTCCAACTGGGATAAGATGGTGCAGTCGTGTATATAGAAGTGGAAGTATGCTTTGCTGTAGGTGCAGAAGTGGTCACAGCAGTCGTAGTCACAGCAGTCGTGGTATAAATTAGAGGACCTCGTGTAGCAGCTGGCCATGCTAAAAAGTTCGTACGTTATTTCTGATCTGCTAGTTTTAAATACAAGAAAACTTACAAATTCTTCTACACAAACGGTTCTGTTCAATTGATTCCCTAGGAGTGTAATCCCTAACGAGATTGATTGAACGATTTCCATTAGGTAACCCTCTGGCTATCAACATGGTAACATCGGTGACTAAAGAGTAGGTTATGGCCACGTCTCTAGCTTTCTTTCTTAACTCTTCAGGGTTTTTGGATATCAGACTATTTTTAAGTAGTTGCTTCACATATAGGTATGCCCATAAGCGGTCTAATTTTGCGGAAGGTACCTTAACTGATGGCTTGTATTCAATTGTTCCATTATTTGTTTGACCTGTTGTTACAAAAGGTGTATTTCTAGTTATCTTCCACATTCCACCTTTTCCGGCAGCTATTATTTCAGAACCATCGAACAAAAGTGGAACATTAGACGTTGTCATGTCAGTTATATCGTTTAAGTTTTTAAATTGTATATTTTTTAGTACAGGTGACTTTATTCTCTCGTAAAAATCCTTTAGTTGTTCCTGTTTATCGGTCTGATCATAAATGTGAGTTTCAAAACCGTTGTTGTTTGAAGCCAAATTTATAAGCAAGGTTCGGTTTGCACTTTCTCCCAGCGATATTGTATATATTGGCGCTTTTAGGTCAATATTTTGTTGAGATATCTAAATAAAAACATATATGAACAAATTGCATAGTAATATTCAGCAGAAAGTTGTTAAGAGATATTGTTAATGCTGTAACACAACCAAGCCCATTGATTGGCGAAAATGTGAGCTTCCAGAACTTCCAATTCTTTCCACAGAAGATCTGACCTATATGTATAGAAGGTATTTCAAATGAATTTGGTTATATTACCTCAGAAATTATTAAATTCGGATCTGTTATACCAACAGTTGGGTCTCCATCCGTAAGAAATACAATTTTTGAAGTGTAAGAATTTGCTGTGTTTTTTTGTATTGTTTCAATTAGGTCCAATGTTGTTTTAAGTGCGTCATAAATGTTGGTCCCACCGTCTGCTATCAATTGGTCAATTAGGTTTTTAGAATTTTGTATATTACTTTTAGTCGCTGGATATGCTTCTTTCTAGAATTTATGTGTTATTACTGCACTAAGTACTATAAATTACCTACCTTCACAGAATTGTCTATTAACATTGATGTACTTTCGTAGCTATATGTTATTATATTAAAAACATCCTTATCAGAGACTGTATCAAGAATTAAATGCATAGCTTCTTTTAAATGTTTAAGTCTATTTTCTACATCCATACTACCACTTACATCTAGCACAAAAATTATAAATTGTTCTAAGGGCTTTAAATTCGGCGGTGAAAAATACGTCACGAAAAATTCACCATCTGCCAAAACCTAAAATAATTTGGGAAAAAATAGGAATGCAAATTTTTTTTTGGTTCAAATTTTGAATTGTGAAGCTTTTTTTACTGTGTAACACATACCTGGCTTGGAGAAGATCTTGTTACATCGTAGGCTACAACAAATTGGGCTGCAAAACTGTTAACACCTCTTAGACCATCACATGCCAATTTAAATTGGTTAACCATGCCGGGAGTAAATTTGATATAACCTGTGTGCGAAGTAATGTTTGCGAAAACATCAGCTTTATAGTCAGTCTGGTTTTTCAGAATAATATCGCCAGTTTTCAAGTATGGCGAATTGAAGTAGGCTATTTTTTCGTCCTCTTTAATAATAACCTCGACCTCCAAATTTTCGACAAGTTGCCTGGGAAAAATATTGGCAATAATCTCATATTTTCCATTTTTTCGTTCAAGAAGTTCTTCGTAATGCAGTTTAAATACTGTTGTGCTAAATGGTTCTAAATTAACAGCCAAATCAAATTCATTTGAGTTTCTTACGCTTACATGTGCACCTGTGTTATGTATCTAAAATAATTACAAATTACAAACAAGTCAAAATTAATTAATTAATTAATTAAAAAAACATACATTTATATAGTTTTGTCCTTCGTCAATACCAACAACAAATGATTCATATACCCTATTATTTATTTCCATTGTAAACTTTGTAACAAATGCGTTTTCTGGTATAACCACGGAAAATATGGTTTTTCTAGGATAGCCCTTTACGTTACGTACCACGCTTGTAACCATGGTTTCCGCAAATCTATTTGTCACATTTGTTTTTATAGAGTAAGAACTTATCGCCGGTAATGGGTTATTTGTGTATGTATGGGCCTAAAAAGTTTAAAATAAATCAAATACACCTATGCGCAAAAATTTTGCCCTTAATATATTATATACAGTGTGTATGAAAACTCAAAATAGCATCCCAATAAACAATTTCTACTACTTATGGTAACGATAAATTATATAAAGGATATACAGGGTGTCCCAAAAGTCAACGATATCCTTTGGAGGACTGATAGACCAACTCATGACTAAGCAGAAAATCAAAATATGACCTTAGTAAAAAATCGTTGGTGATATAGTCATTTTTATGAATTTTGTAAAACTTGACAGTGTCAAGTTGACACCTTAGAACAATTTTTCGAGTGCCACAGCTACAAAATCTTCTTTTAATTTAATTTTGAATTGTAATTAATAGCAGTCCTATTCAGGGTTACGCAAAATAAAATATAATCTAAGAATATAGAATGTTGTAGTTGTGGCACTCGAAAAACTGATTTTATGTGTCAAGTTTCACAAAATTCATAAAAATGCCAATATCTTAAAAACTAATGATTTTTTACTAAGGTCAAGTTTTGATATTCTGATTAGTCATGAACTGACCTATATATAATTGTTTATACAAACATTTTATATAACCTTTAGTAACCGTTACCAGTAGGTTTTAAAGGAGTTTTATAAAGTTTGGGGTTACCTGTTTTATAAAACTATTGTATCTTTAAGTTTCCCATATGTCGAGAACACACTGTATATACATTATGAAAGGGTATTAAATTATGATAAATTTATGAACACATATCTAAAAAAATATATATACCTATTTATTAAAAAAGTTTGCTTTTGTAGCCAGGAGAATGATTTTTATTATTTAAAAAAATATTTGATTATAATTGATATAATTTTAAAAAAATTATAAATTTTCATTAATTCGGTTTTAAATTTTAAATTTCAACTTACCCTTAATGTATCAATTAACATGGTACTAGAGCAAACAAAAGTGATTACGCAACATAAAACAATAGTAACTATTTTTAATATTCGAATCATTTTGAAAACTTAAATTAAATCAACACTTTAAGAAGAACAGCATTTCTGATATGATATTTTATTTTATTTGGTATTTATAACATTGTATGAATCATTACATACATTGGGGTTATCTTAATAAAAGGTCCTGCCAATTGTCAGTGGCGTAATAAGCACCCCCGCAGACCCCGCACCGCGGGGGGGCCCAGAGGGTCAGGGGGCCCAAGGCTCACATCACTCTTTAAAAGTTTAAACCAATAAATTAAAAAAATATTTAATTTTTTAAATATTCAATCTTAAAAAAAATAAAAAATCTTAAACAACTAAACGTATAAGTATTTTTTGTTAAAAATATTTATTTAATTCGTTGATTTTGAACATGCGCGAGAAATAAATAGCGGTTGTAGCGCCATCTATTAAACGCTTTTCCAAATGTTAATATTTGCTGAATTAATAATGTTATTTGTTATATTTTAGTTCTATTGTTATTTGGTTTGAAAGTTATGCAAAAATTATTTGTTAAAAATAATTAAAATTTAACAATTTAAAAAAAATTAAATTAAATGCAATACGACAAAATATAAACTTTATAGAATTACCATGGTGGATAAAGAGGCAACCTGTATTTTATTATTTTAAAATTTTGTATCGAGAATTTGGTTCTTTGTAAATTTGCACATGCGTAAAAACTTATTTTTAGTTCATGTGTAGCTATCGTAACAGAAAATATTTAGGTAATTATTATTTTACAATTTTTTTTTAAAGAATCTTAATAATATATTATAGAATAGAATAAGATTTTTTAAACCAAAATTAATTAAATATTTTCTGTTTTACTACCAAAAATTGCAGATACAGGCTGTATCTAGACTGTATCTGCAATTTTTGGTATACCATATATACTATAGTAAAACAGAAAATATTTAATTAATTTTGGTTTAAAAATCTTATTCCATACATGTAATATTATTAATATGAGTTTAAAAGTACTATGATAAACCAATTTAAAAATTTCCTAAGGGTAATAATAAACTTTTTTTCTACTACCTTACTAGAAAACTTAATTTTCCACCCCCGAGCGGGGGAGGAAAATGCCTCTTTTCCTCCCCGGGAGGAAAAAAAATTTCCTCCCTCCTTTTTTTTAAATTTATATTGGCAAGAGTTTTTGTACCTTGTCTAGCTTTATTTGATTTTGTAGGAAAAAGATTTACTACGCGCTTGTCCAACCATTCTTTTAACATTCTTTTAACAAACTATATTCATATTCACTATTTTAGATTTTTAAGAAAGGAAATTAATTGCAACTATTAAATTTATGATAAACATTATGACAGCTTATAAAAACTGTTATGTTGGTATTACCAAAAATACCATAGCAACAAAGCGTTGTCAACATAACGTCGGCGACGCAAAACCTACTTAATATTTTGTCATAATTTTATAGCCCCATACCGGGCAAGTAAAAGGAACCGGAACGCCTAAAATATCTTAAAACCGTTAAAAGGTGATAGAAAAAACTATATACATACCTCAGGAGGAAAATGCATTTCCTCCCTTGAATATTTAATGCCCTTCGCTTCGCGTCGGGCATCAAACTATTCGCGGGAGGAAATGCAATATTTTCCTCCCATGGTATGTAAATAGCTATTACTCATTGTAAAGGGGGCCCATTAAAATCGTTTTGCGGGGGGGCCCACTCAGAATTTGTTACGCCACTGCCAATTGTATTATCAATTTATTCGTAATTCTTAATCTTAATAATTTTTTATTTTGTTTATAGATAATTTCTTCATAACTTCTAAAAATTAAGGTTTTATTGGAAAGCAAATATTTTGTTTATATTTGGGATTCGTAAAATTTATAATGTATTCTGAAAATTTCTCTTAATTTATTTCTAACCGTTATTGATAACTGCAGATTAAAATTAATGTTTCGGGTAATTGAAAACTGCCCAAATTCAAACGAAATTGGGTAGATTTAAAAAACGGTAAGTCACGTCCGCACAGTAGTCCAAAATTAAGAAATAGTAGGAAAAATTCGCACAGTAGGACAAATTTAAAAATGGAAGGACAAATTCGCACAGTGGGATAAGTTTAAAAAAATGGTAGGAATAATTTGCACATTGGGACAAATTTCCCAAAATTTTCCGTTAAATTTTTATTTTAATTTTCCAAATATTTTGAATTTTTCAAAAATTTTATGAATTATTTATTATTAAAAAGCAAATTTCTAGCAGTGACAAGTAAAAAATTATTGTTGTCTGGTTTGTAAATTAACTGTTTTTCTTTTGCTCTGAATTATGTCAGTGGTAACCGATTTGGATTTGCATCGACTCAAATTTGCCTAAAAAATAAAAGTTGTTAATAACTCGTAAGACTTTTATTTTAATTTTGTACTAATTTTAATGCTTTTTTCTTTAATTCCCAACAATTCCAAATATATTCCCTGGATTTTTCCAAAACAATTTCCTCAGTTTGAACACCTATTGAAGAGTTTATATCATTTAAAGTGGTTTTTGTTCTAAAATACAAAAATTGTATAAAATATATAAAAACTTGGACAAAATGTTACGTTTTTGAATCTCCAGGCAAAACTAAATACTTTCTGCCATTAAAAATCTCAATTAACTCGATATGTTTACTAAACAAACTGCACAATTTAAAAATTATTCTACAAAAAACAATTTTAAATTAAAAAAATCATACTTTCGTTAAAATTACCCTGAAACATCTTCAAAAAAGGCTTTTGCAGATTCTGGTTCGGAAAAAATATACTGAAAAGAATCTAGTGTCACAACAATTCCTAAAGTTGGTATACCTGGAAATAAACCACCTCCAGAGTTCACTAATTTCCAGGGATCGCATCTTAAACACTAAAAAGTTTTCAGTTCAGTGAAATCTTGTTTACGCGTTGCTTGGCAACGGCACCGTTGCTATGAAGGTTGCCAGGCAACGATATCGTTGCCATAGCAACGCGTAAATAGGGCGGAAATTTCGTACTTCTATGTATAGGGAGTCTAGATTTTTGTTTTCTGAAGTTGTTATAAATGCTTGTTCGTTTTTTAGGTTAAGTTCGATGTCTAGAAAGCGTTGTAACCTTTGTGCGTCTGTCATAATTTCGTAATTTTCCAGAATGTTCTTTAATGTTTCTTCCGGATATTCCAGAGAATCGACTAAAGTTGTTAGGTTTTCTAGAATTGAGGTTATGTTGGATAAATAGATGACTTCGTTTTGGAGTTCGGTCCAGATTTCTGAAAGCTGTTCAAAAAGTGGCTTAAATGAACAATAATTAGTTGTTTTTTTTTATTTTTTTTTCATATTACAAAAATTAATGCGCACGATACAGCAACTCTAATGCTGCAGATATCGTGTATTTTCGTCAGCACATTTTTCAATTTAGTATACAGGTTGTTTATATTTTCATCATCTTCTATAATTGTCATAAGTTGCCTAAAATTTGATAATTAAATTTATTTATTTACATAGGTAATAAAAACCTTAAATAAATTTCGTACTGCCTATACGTTATAAGCAAACTTTTGACATATTCCATATCATTTTCACTGACTGTATCTGGCAAATCACAATGCAAAAATCTTTTACCATTTTCGTTAAACTTTATTTTATAACATTTATCCAACCCCGTCGTTATGGCATTTATTTTTTGCATCGAATCCACCAACATTTGCCTTAGATTTTCAGTTGCGAACTGCAAGGATTTATACAACAAACCTGGCACTAAAAATAAAAATGAATGGTAATGTGTCCCAAAAGTGCGCAGTGTGAGTGCGCACTCTTAGCACACTTTACCATACTTACGGTCCACTATGTCTTCCCCTCCCTTTCCGCAATCTTTGTTAAAAATCCGAATACCAGTGACCAGTTTTGCCAAAAAAACTATTTGGTTATGTTTTTGTTTCTTGGGAAGTGTTGTTAGATCTTTTAATTCTTTTTCTGATACGATACTTTTAAAGGCCGCCTCCGATTCTTGATATACCTTTTTAAAACATTATTATTTACTATAGTAAATAAAATAAAAACTATAGTTTTTATTTTATTTTAATATTACCTCCTCATTTAATGGACTTCCCATGCCTGTTGTTAAGGTTATGTAAAACAAAATTTTCTTTAATATTTTCTCAATTTCGATTGTTTCATTGACATTTTTGGTATTCAAAATATCTTTTTTTAGATCTTCCAGTTTTTCAGCCAACTCTTTTTTATTTTTTAGGGTTAATTTTTCTTTCGAGGCAAAATTATTCTTATAAAACCATTGAATTTTCAAGGTCACAAATTGTGGGGTATTTTGATTTTTTAAATTTTCTCCAATCATTGCAACAAATTCTGTTTTTTTCTCAGACAGTTCAACATCCTTTAATAGATATTTGTTTTCGGGAAATAGCAAAAATAATCCAATCTAAAAAATGTTTAAAGTAGATAAAAGTTATTTTTGGTTAAATATATACTATAGTACTATATTAAAATTAAAAATATACTATAGTAAAAATTATATACTTTATATATTATATATATGGGGTATTCCATACCAAATCGACCACTTTTGAACCCGACCCCTTTAGATTTTGCTGAAACTTTTCCATCCTTTTCTACCCTTTGAAAAACATTTTTGAAAATTTTTTCAAATTTTTTTGTCCAACCTCAAAAAAGTTATGAATTTAAAAAAAATGGCTTTTTTATTTTCAAATAGCCATAACTTTTTTAGAAATTGACTTTTGGGTACCTTTTTTTTTAATTTTTGTTTTTGAATGTACTTTTCAAAAAAATACACGAAAAAATACACGAAAAAAATTTAACATGATCAATTATATAAAATAATCGTTTTTTTTAGTAAAATCGTCATTTTTTCGAAGTTCGCCATTTTTTCTTTTTGTTTTTTTTTTCTCAAAAAAAACTTCAATTAATTTGACAACTATCCCCGCTAATCCCGGAGTGGGCCGATTTTTTTTTAATTTTTTTTTATTTATTTAAAAAAAAATGTCGAATTTTCTTTGACAATTTTTTTTAAATAAATAAAAAAAATCAAAAAAAAATCGGCCCACTCCGGGATTAGCGGGGATAGTTGTCAAATTAATTGAAGTTTTTTTGAGAAAAAAAAAACAAAAAAAAATGGCGAACTTCGAAAAAATGACGATTTTACTAAAAAAACCGATTATTTTATATAATTGATCATGTTAAATTTTTTTCGTGTATTTTTTCGTGTATTTTTTTGAAAAGTACATTCAAAAACAAAAATTAAAAAAAAAGGTACCCAAAAGTCAATTTCTAAAAAAGTTATGGCTATTTGAAAATAAAAAAGCCATTTTTTTTTAAAATTCATAACTTTTTTGAGGTTGGACAAAAAAATTTGAAAAAATTTTCAAAAATGTTTTTCAAAGGGTAGAAAAGGATGGAAAAGTTTCAGCAAAATCTAAAGGGGTCGGGTTCAAAAGTGGTCGATTTGGTATGGAATACCCCATATACTATAGTACTATAATAATAACAATTTTTTCTCACATAAAATTCCAAAAAATCCTCATCAACCCTTATATTTTTTCGAAAACATTCCATAAGTATATCGGATTTTAATATTTTTAATTGTTTTATATCTTTATCCATTTTCGTCGAACTGTTTTTTAAAAGTTTGATCGATAAAATTAAAATATTTTTACAATACACTCTACCATGTTTGTCTATGGTTTTATTTCTTTTGCATGGTCTCTACTTTATTAAAAACGTTCTTTGGCTAGTTACCCAGAGGTGGCGCTGACGACCAAAACAAAATTTTTATTTAATTTGCAGTGTTGTCAGGTTAGTTAAAATTGCTGTTTTTGCGTTGAAAGAATCTAATTTGTATAATTTGTGGCATCTATGGTTTAAATTTTCTTGTTAGTTTCTAATTAAATTTATTTTTAAATATGTAACAGGTATTATTTTGGTTTAAATTATTCATTTATTATAATTTTGAGCAATTTTTTAAAAAAAATTTTTATTTTTTCGATTGTAATCCCTACCTATCTAAAAATGCATTTTTATATTTTTACCATTGAGTAAAGTGTTACTCAATGTTTTTACTTATAGGTAAAACTTGTTAAATGACTTCATTATTACCGTTGTTAGGGGCGGTTATAATGGTTACCATTATGTATGAACAAATAATGTTAAAAATATGCAATAGGAGTTGTGTATAAAATAAAATGATTCCAAGCAAAATAAAATAATAATAAAAAATAAAATAAAGTATTACTCAAGTCTATATTTCCTTGCCACAAAAAAAAAATAAATACTGGGTATATTATGTATTTTGATAATATTTATTTAAATTTTTCGTATTATTGTGTCATCCTTAGCCATATCAATTGTAAATTATCCAAACCACAGACAAAAACCACGACACAGACTGAAACGCACGACCTGGCAACACGGCGCGACGCTAAAAACAGTTCGCCAGACAGTCGAAGATCGTCGCGTAGGGTAGGTTGATTGTTGTTGTTGCCAAGCTACCATCGTGTAACACAATAACAAATAAAAACGGCAAAGAAAAACAACGAAATTGTGCAGCATGATCCGAATGCTGGTTTAAGTGCGGGAAATTATGGCGTGGTCGTGCTTAAGAGTGCTGTGTTTTGTTTTGTGCAGTGTTTTACACAGTGATTCCGCCTGGGCGACACAAAAAAGTAAGTCTGGCATCGGTTTAACACCATTAAGATTATTAGAGATGGGTTTCTTGTTTTTTTGTGCTTTCGCACGCAATATTTCAATAGTTTGATTTATAAGTTACGTGTTGCTTTTTATCTAATTGATTTGGTTAACTTAACAAAGGACCATCATATTGGTAAAAGATACTTACTGTGAAATATGTCATTTTTATTGAAATAAAAACGTTTTAAAAGTAAAAAATAACAATGTTTAAAACAAATCAAGAAAGCTGGTCTTCAAAAAGTCCTTCAAAGCCATATTTATTAAATTAAATAAGATGTTTTTATTGTAGGTACTATTTTTGAACCCACGTTTATTAAAATGGTACTTATTTTAGGATTATGCTAAATTGTACGTTATTCTTTAGACATGTGCAACTTTAATGCTTATTTTTGCCTTACATCTGGAGTAAATTTTATTATAAATTGTTTATATTCGTTAAGTCAACGCACGTGTCATGTTTATACGTTCTATAAACATCAGGGGTGTTTTCAATATAAGTATACTAGAGATGGGGTGATTTTTTTTCGAAATTTATGATCTGAGAGGATAAATCGTTGACAAATAAAGTGCCCCAATGATGTTTTTTGTACAAACTTTTTAATTTTGTTTATTTTACCTTTTTAAATTGGTTTCAAAAATATTTAAATGAGAATATTAATTGTGATTTTTTCATGTACCTACCTACATTGAAATTAAGCCAAACAGTTCATTGTTTATAAATACAACAAATAAATAATAAACATTTAATATTTACCTACCTATCTTAATTTTCCTGTTTATATAGGTAAGTAAATTATAAATAACATATATAATACTCTATTCTAAAACCTATAGTTGCATGGTACATTATACCAACCCAACAAGATTAAAATAAGAAAAGAAACATCTGACGATCGAAAACCGGATATCGTATAGTTTCCTTTAACGCATTGTTTGACATTTTTTCGCTTTTTTCGTCTTCGACGATGCTGCTTTGTTTTTTTTTTGTTTTCAAAGCTTGCTATGACGTATTCAGATGGTGAAATGAACTCGATAGAGTGCGTTTGTATGGTATAAAATTTCATGTGAATTAAAATTTTAATTTTGTTTTTTTTTTTGTTTAAAGTGCTGAATATTACGGCCTTGCTTGGTCGAGTATTTTTGATATTTGATGATATTGCATTTGTATTTGTAAAATCACGATAAATTTTATATGCAGTGTTGCCAGATATATAAGTGTTCTTAGAATATTTCTGTTAATTTTTTTGATTTCCTTATGTGAGTCATATTTTAAGTAGTGAATATTTTATATCCAATTATGTTGTTGACTAATGAAAATTAAATATTTTTTCTGTGAATTACGTATGACTGGGTGTCATAATAATTAGTTAAATTGGCATGTTTTGTCTTTTTAGATTTTCAGAGCTATCAAAAAATCTCTTGAAATTCTGGAGGATGCCGTTCTCTGATTGGTTTACTACTTTCCATAGAGATAATTTCTATAGAAAGTAGTAGGTATCTTTTTTTTATCGAATAAACAATTTGGCCTGTGTAAATTGAACGCGATTTCTTTTCAATATTTGAGCTGCTGAAGTGTTTTTGGTAATGGGCCAAAAACAGCTAGTTTGTGAATCAGATATTCCTCATTCCGTTTTCGGTTGCCCCTCTTGATTTATATTCGAGTCAGTCGGTATTTCCGGTTAAGTGTTTCCCGTTGCACGATTTTTTTGTCTGCAGTACAATCGCTGAAAAAAGTTATGTATTGTTTATTGGGTTTTTATGTAAAAGTAGTCATTGTTTTTAGAGGTTCTAAAAATAATGGTATACATTGTATAAAATGTAATATCATTTACTCAATGGTAATATGATAAACTTTTCATATAACGTTCTGAAAATGCAACATTTCACAAATACGAAATATGAAACTAGACGTCCTTCTGACGTCACGTTATCTCGCGCCATTTCATTGTTTTGATTGTCGTTTGTTTCTGTCACATCGTCTTTTATATGTGCATAGGTACATATAACGCTTGTAAGCCGCTTCGCAATTGTTTTTGTTTCGTCATTCAAAGCGAGATCTATTGAGGAAGTAGACGTATTAAAACAATAAGATATTTTTACAGTGGGGCATTGAAAAAATGTTTGTTACATCGGAGAAACAAAATATAGAAATTATAAAAAATTGCACAAAAAAATTAATGATTTTTGAAATTGTATAAAACATTTTTATCACAAATATTCTTTGCGACAGTGTGTTGAATTATTTTTATCTATGTCGACGAAATTTTGTGTAGGGAAAACTTGATACTGCGGATGATGATTCATCTACTGGTTTCCTGGGAAACACAATTGGCACCAATATACCATAAGTTTTTTAACCTAGTTTTCCTGGCGTCAATATTTACAAATTTATTATTTACAAAATATATGAGGAGTATTATTATGCCAAAAACACAAGAGTTTTAACAATATGGATAATTAATTTTAATGCTTTTTTTAACATAACCAATAAAACCTCATAACAAAAGAACCTAGTGAAACATAATGATTTTTAAAACGTAAAACTAACCTATAAAATATTGCCATCCGGCCACAAAACTGTAATTTATCTTCTTTTATTGTCTGCATATTTATGTAGGTATACAACAAAAGCTTTCCCCACACCCTTATGTTGTAAATACGTAACACTCAGACATCTTTCAAAGTATGTCTGACCCTTCCCGTATAAATGCGTTAAATTTGTAAGTACGTCTAGTCATTAGGGCCCACAAATATATTTATTGATTTCATTAAATGAAAAACACCAAGCCCACAAACAAGCAAATCGTAGCAATTTGTTATGTTTAGCGCGTTGTAAATCTGACAACATTGCAATTAATTTCGGTTTGTGTATTTTCAAGAGTTGTACCAAAATAGTATACTAAAGAACTAATGTCATAAGACGTCATTTTGTCGTACGCGGACAATTTATAAAACGAGCGACGAATTTTACTTTAGATAGTTGGTATCACAGTCATTGGTTTGACAGTTAATGTCAAAATCGATTCGCCATGCCGTCCTTAATTTACTTATTTACAATAAGCGGCTGTTAATGTTAAAGAAGAAAAAAGGATTTTCTTTGGTGTTAAACAAAATTTATTGCCAGAAAAGTCTCGTAAGTACTAGAAAAATCATAAAAATATGATAACCAATATGCAAAATATTATGCTGTTTAAAGTATAGCCAACCTATAAAATCAAAATTTTGGGTGGGATAAAGTATCTCATTACAGCACCGAAAGCGGTGTTATAATGAAGTCATTATGAACGCAAAATAGATAAAAATTATTCATAATGAACTTAAAATATTTTAGGTGTCGTGTCATAATTACCTATTTCCTGTCATATTCATCAAGTCAGATAAATACAACAAAATAGCCGGTTGCATGTGTAAAATTGATTTAATATTTAAGTAGGTAAAGTGAATCACTAGTAGAAGGCGTATACGTATCTAAAAATCCATTTATTCTCTCTTTTGACATTTAATCGATGAAGTTAATATGCAATAAATTAATTTTTTTATATGAAAAATCTATTAATATAAATCATAGGTTTCAATCTATTTTAATTTAACATTTTATATCTTATATTAAATATATTTTTCTTAAAAATAATAGGTAATAATATTTTATCGACCGTATAAAGTAACTAAACTTATTTTAATTACCTCTAATTAAATATTAAAAAAATATGTATAGGAAACTTTATCCAGTCGTATACGAGGTTTGACATAAAATATGAATTTGGTACAAGAGTAAAATATCGTTACAATCGTTGTAATTCAAATTAATTTTATTTCAGTTAGAAAACTTTGTTAATAGCTTACGTTAAGAACAATAACAAAAATATTTAAAGACTTTTTTAATATTTACTATTGTTTTGCAATGGTAACAAAATTTTTGTTATTTCCCTTAAAAAGAGGGGGAAAGGGCCAGCGCTCTCCTTGGTGAACATAACTTTATAATCCACAGTCTGTGTTATAATCTTATTGATTTCACTTGTGCGAGTGAAGTGTGGTAAAATCGAGCATGATAAAAATATCAAAAAGATCACGAAGCAGACTGGTTGTTTAAAAAGTGAGTTCGTATTTTTTTTATTTTGTACATCATATAATATGAGTTAATTTTTTTGTTATAATAAATAATTTGATTTAATGCCTTGCAATTATTTAAAAATAACTACCCAACACCCAACAGTGGGTTGAAAATGTGACCATTGTTACAATGAAAATAGTTTATTGAATTAACAATTATAAAACTGTTTTGTTAAACTATGATGCAGTGTTATATTTAATAAATAAATAAATAAATTTGTTGTTAAATTTACATAAATTTTAATAATATTATAAAAAAAGTTTTATTTTAAACGAAATGAATTGATTTACAAAATTTCTATGAATAATACAATTTTCATGAATACCTACTACAATACGTTTTTGACGTTATTTATTCATTTTTTTAATATTAAATATTTAAATTTAGTCTAAAGAGCAAATATTTTCTCTTAAAAATTATAACATGTTGTTTATTTGTTCGGTAAATATTTTTATCTTTTTATTATGTTAAAACGGAAAAAACAATATTTGCAATAAAAAATAAACATTTATTGTAGTTTAACCCGTGTAATAAGTACATGATAATTTATATTTATTAATTGTTACACAGTTTTACAATTTTTAATGTAAACCCGAACACACACTTTGTAACCATGTAGGTATATTTTTATTAGTTATATTTATTTTAAAGCACGACCATGTTAAAATTTTATTTAAACTTGATTTCATCAACAAAACAACAAAGGTGCACAAGAACGAGACTCGGTCACCGGCTTCGTTTTTCTTTATTTAAATTTCTTCGTCCTCCTTTAAATTATACTTACCTGGACAAGCAGGCCATATTTACGATGCCTTGTGTGCATTCAAAGCACCAGAAAAATTGAAATTTACAACCACCTGCTCC